AGATTCTAACATAGGTCAGGGAGCCAGCTCCCCTGGGGGTTAGGGTGAAGGTGATCTGATAGAGTGAGGTTGGACCAGCAAGACTGGGCCAGGGTGCTAGCAGTGTTCTGGGGTTGGTTACACAAGTGGTTGCTATATGGGCATATTTGATAAACTGTACAGCTACTTTGTATGCACTTCTTGTAGGTATGCCGTATTTCACAACTAACAACTAACGGTAAATTTAAAACCACCTGTGTTTATGCGTGACTTATGACCAATGATGTGGTTGATCTTTGAGTAATCAAACATATGGTGACGAGGATATTCTGTGGCTGTTGGGTGGAATGTTCCATGGGGATCTACTGAATCCATTTGGTCAGGTGTCAAGTTGGGGTTCCGGATCTAGGGTTGTTAGTGGGATATTTAAGTCCCCAGCTATGACAGTGTTAGAGTCAATACCTTTTTTCAGTTTACGTAGTAGCTGCTTTATAAAAGCTGGTGCTCCTGTGTTGGATGCACATATGCTTGGGATGGATATTTCTTGTTGATGGATCGAACCTTTTATCATTATGTAGTATTCTTTTCTATCTTACAATAGCAAAAACACTGAACCAACCGTGCTGCCCATCAAAACTGGACTGGCTAGAAAAAAATGTGGTACATACACATGATGGAATATTACACAGCCATAAAGAAAGACAAAATTATGAACTTTGCAGCAACTTGGACGAATTTAGAGTCTATAATACTCAGTGACTTATCACAGAAACAAAGAACTGAGTACCAATGTTCTCACTCATAAGCGGACCCTGAACATTGACCATAATACTGTAAGAAGGGGATTGGCAGTCGCAGGAAACTGCCAGCGGAGGGAGAGGTACATAACATCAATAAAGGTACCTGATCTCAAATCAAGCAAACTGGAGACCTAAGGGAGGCCCAAACTTTACTTGTACGATGGCCACTTATATACCTAATACTGAACTGGACCCCACATGATTTTTAAAATAATAATAATGAGTACTAAGAGCAAGCAAAACGGTAATACTAGCCATAATAAATACAGCCGGCATGCCGGTTAACAGCGCCGGCTCTTGATCCCGACATCCCTGGCTCGAATCCAGACCTTACCACTTAGGAGCTGGCTGACCTTGGGCGAGTTATTTAGAGTGAGCTTGACCACACGTGCAAAGGCGTCCCTACCCAGGCCAGTCGCCACAGCAAACCCTGCAGGCGAGAGCTCCGCCACCTCCCCCAGCGACCGTCTCACCCGCGCCGCGCCCAAGGCAAAAGTGGCGTGTCAGCCCGGGACCCCCGCACGCATGCGCGGCTGGGCCGGTGGGCGTGGCCACGAAGCGCTGTAGCCGGGCAGACGCACGCGGGGGGCGGGATCGCGCCTGCGCGGACGGCCTATCATGGCGGCCGCCTGAGTCCCGCGGCCGGGGCTCGAGTAGACTCAGGGCTGGGGCCCGCGACGCGGGTAAGTCCCTGCGAGGGGCGGCACGACGGGTTAGGATGCCGGGATCCTCCTGGCACCGAACCCGTCTTTGGAATCTGGGCTCCCTGATCTGAAACCTGAGCCCCAAAGGCCGATCCCCCTCTAGACCTGTTTGCCCTTTTGGGCATGGGTGTTGGGAAAGAAGTCCACATCCTCACCTGGGTTTCGGTCCGCAGTTCAGGAAGCTTCCCGCGGTTTCGGATTAGGAAGGGAGGGCGATGCCCGACCTGTCACCGCCTTCGGAGAGGGCGGCGGTCGACTCGCAGGATAGGGTTAGGGACGAGGTAAGACCGAGAGTAAGAGGAGCCCCAGACTCCGACCCTGCGCGCCGTGGCCCGCCGAGTCTTGTCCCACCCACCCGGCCCCCAGCCGGTGCCTTGGTTCCTGCAGCTTCGCAGTGTTCACTCCCTGCCCTCCATCATCCAGCGCCTGGCCCTAACCCGTCATAGAGTCGCGCCCAATTCCTGTTGAGTAAGTGGCACCTAATAGAAGGACTGGGAAGAGGGAAGTTATTTTAACCCCCCGACCCCAGCAAACTTTTGGGGGCAACCCTGACTGGAGACCTATAAGAAGAGGCGGACAGAGTCTGGCCCTCACCGCCTTAGAAGAGCGGAGTAACCTCGTCAGCTGCTGCTCCCGGCGCGACCCAGCAGCCTGAGGGAGGGGTGGGGGGCGGGTCCCCATCTTCAACGTGGGTCTGCTTTCTCAGCTCTGCCCTGTCAGGAGAGGAGCCTGTATTCCACCCAGCCTCAGCGTTCCCAGTCGGAGACTCAAGAGTCAGCTTTTCCTAGCTAGAGAAACTGACCATTACTTTTTCTCTATTTCTAGCAATTCCCTTTAATAATTATCATTATATTGATATAGCATTATATTGACATCATTCATTGCTATAATGAAAATACTATTATTGAGCGTGTATTATGTCCTGAACGCTGAATGTAGTCGTTGCCTTATTTACTCCTCCACAGGACCCTGGAGATAGGTACGAGAGAGCCTTTTTATTCCCAGATACCAGATTCTGGGGAAAGCCCTTTAAAGGGAATCTACTTCTCCTGGGACTTCCATTGCAGAATAAATTTCCTGGAAAACCTGGGTAGTCTGAATTTCACAATTAAAAATTCACCTAGGAATTAAGACTTTGAGAGTTTCTTTTTTGTCTCTAAGAAAATTTGGCATGAGAGATTATACTCACTTTTGTAACAAGCGAAGAACATTGATTTCTCTGGAACATAATTTTTCCAACAAAATTGCCCATAGCAAAAAAAATGGCATCCTTGGGTTCACCTTTGACTTTCATGGCAACATTAGAGAAGAGCTTTTGTTCTTTTCAAAACTGTATGTGCAAGTCCTCAGTTTTTCCCCAGAACATCTCAGTCCTGGGAGAGCCAAGTCTGTCTTTGAGAAGATTCGTGTGGTAGGTCTAATCTGTTTCTTTTTTGTGGATCCAGTCTAGTTTTGCCAATCCTCATTGGTTGAGAGCTGTTGCCTGGGTGTTGAGCATTTATCCATCACTTTCACTGACACAGTGAATTTCTGCACTGACTTGCCAGATTCACAGTCTTTCTTTACAGCCCACTTGCTTTTTGCCGGCTTGTGGTGTCAAGTAGGAAAGCCACCATGGAGACTAATTTAATAAGGAGTCTCCAGGCTCGGTGGCTCAGCCTGTAATCCCGCGCCTTTGGGAGGCTGAGGTGAGTGGATTGCCTGAGCCCGCAGGTTCGAGACCCGCCTGGGCAGCGAGACCTCATCTCTACAATAAATCAAAAAATCAGCTGGGCGTGGTAGCACGCGCCTGTAATTCTGGTTACTTGGAAGGCTAAGGCGGAAGGATCGCCGGAGCCCAGCAGGTCGAGGCTGTGGTGGCCGGGAGCGGCCACTGCACTCCAGTCTGGGCGACAGAGTGAGACTCTAACTCAAAAAAAAGAAAAAAAAATAAGGAGTCATCTTTTTCCTAAAAATTTTTAAGTTGGGACAGCTTTTGCTGCCCCATGGTAAGCACCTAAATATAGGAACTACAGTTGTGTGTACTCAGATCATGAAGACACATGATGTTATGTGAGTTATGGTAATCCTATCTTCCAGCTGAAGATATGAAGACTCGGAAGTTTCATGACATGCCTGGGCACACAGCTAGTGCACATACCTACCCAGATAGGAACCACTCCTGTAGGCATTCGGGGTTATGGGCAGTTTGGGTCAAACACCTGAAACAGTCTCTGGCACAAGGAGGTTGCTGGTATTTTATTAACACCTGCCGTGGGCCAAGGACTTCCCAGCACTTTCTGCTCCAATAATACTACAAGGTGAGACTGACTGAAGAATCAGGTCCAGAAAGGTAAAGTGATTTATCCAAGGTCACGTAGCTGGGAGACGGGAGACCAGGGTTCTGCCCAGCTTCAAAGCCCATCAGTCTGCTGCTGTTTATACTTTTTGGTGAGGGAACATTGGGTTGGAGGGAGAACCTTCCTGTTTGCCCACCTTGCCCCAGGCATGGTTTTCCAAATGTTTATTATTGCTGTGTCACCTTCACAATTTTTCCATGTCTACAAGTCACCTGTTTCGTGATTTCCTTAATTGCTTTTCCTTTAAATCCGCTCACTTTTTAAAATGTTTAATTTAGTAGCAAAACTTTAAAACAACAAATGATATGTGGGTAGGTGTAGGTGGTATCACCTTCCAGATACCACCAAAGGGCCATAACAACTAAATGCAAAGCGTAATTTATGATTGGATTTTGGTTTGGGAAAAAAATATCTCTGAAATATATTTGGGAGAGAGTGGAAAAAACTGGTTTTAGATGGTATTGGGAATCACTGAATATCTCAGGTCTACTAATGGTCTTGAGATTGTGTGGCAAGATGCTCTTAGGAGACCGACACTGAAGAAGAATTTAAGGATCAAGTGCCATGATGTCCGCAATGTGCTCGGAATTCAAGGGGAAGAAACCAGATAGGGCAAAACGCATATGGCAGAATGTTGACAATCATTGAATCCTATGCCAAAGGTACATGGTTGTTTATTATGCTATTTCCCTAACTTTCTTATCAGCTTGAAATGTGTTATTGACAAGTTGGAAAAAATAAAAGGAAAGGTTATCACTATAAATGAAAATTCAGATTCCTTGCCATAAAAATCAATATATTGGCCAGGCACAGTGGCTCACACCTGTAATCCCAGCACTTGAGGAGGCCAAGGCAGGAGAATTGCTTGAGGCCAAGAGTTCAAGACCAGCCTGGGCAACTTAGCAAGACCCCATCTCCTACAAAAAGAAGAAAATAAATGTATTACAAATAACTGCTAAATTCTAGCTGGATGTTTTTTCCTGGCCAAGGGCCTAAGACTTTCTCTTTATTAGAAATCAAAAACGAGTTGAAAAGGGAAGCACTTTCTCCCAGGATGATGCAAACTAGTGACTACTCGGTTAGGAAGCAGCCCTGCTCCCCTCTGGGCCCTGCCGTGGTGCTGAGGATTTATTCTTGCCTCCCAGGTGCTCCTGTCCCAGGAGTCAAGAGCCTGGGCCATGGTGCAGCTGCCACCCACCCCAGCCATGGACGAGGTCACCTTTAGAAGTGACACTGTGCTGTCAGACGTCCACCTCTACACTCCGAACCACAGACACCTCATGGTGCGGCTGAACAGCGTAGGGCAGCCCGGTAAGGCCCAGGTTGGGCACCCTCAGGTCCCCTTGTGACTTCTCCTTTCTTACCTTTGTTTTTGGAGGGAAAATATTGGGAAGTCTGGGTTGTGTATTACCCTCCCACTGCTTCTTAAGTGCCCTCTTCCATGCAGCAAACTCCTGTGCTTTCCTGAGCACCTGCCAAGTGCCAGGCCCAGGACTTCATGCTAGGAACACAGGCATGAATGCACCAAACCCTGCCCTCAGCGAGCCCAGGGCCCATGGGAGAGGGTGCTGGGCTCCTTCTGTCCAGGGCTCTCCACTCCTGCCCCACCCCATCCTGCTGCATCCCTGCCTGACTGCCCATGTCTCCTCCCACCTGGCTCCCTGCTGCACACCCTCCCCACGCCCCTCCCCCTGCCAAGGGGGTCTTTTGAAAATGCAAATCAAATCCCCAAACTCCCTGCTATAGACCTTCAGTGGCTTCCTTGTTGCTTGCAGAATGACATCCATCCTCCTTCTGCCATCCTCCACCTGTGTGTGTACCCCTATGGCTCTCTCCCTTGCTGCTCTGTAGCTACTCTCAGCTACTTTGTCTGTCAGACCCGTCCCCGCCATCCTTCTCAGCCCTGGCTCCTCAGGTGTTGTCTCAGGCCCTCCCTAACTCTGATTGCCCTGTATCAGCTCTTCATCCCCAATTCCCTCCTGTCCTAATTGGGATGGTACATTGTACCAGGTTACAAGTTATAGCCTGTGGGCCAGTTCCAGCCTACAGCTTGCTTTTTTTTTTTGAGTTGGAGTCTTACTCCGTCGCCAAGACTGGAGTGCAGTAACATGCTCCCGGCCACCACGGCCTCGACCTGCTAGGCTCAGGTGATCCTTCTGCCTCAGCCTTCCAAGTAGCTGGAACTACAGGCACACTACCATACCCAGCTAATTTTTTTTTTTAATTTATTGTAGAGATGAGGTCTCACCCTGTTGCCCAGGTTGGTCTTGAACCTACAGGCTCAAATCCTGTTGCCTCAGCCTCCCAAAGTGCTGGGATTACAGCTTGCTTTTGTAAAGGTTTTATTAAGCTGCAGCCAAGCTCATTCATTATGTGTTTTTTGTTTTGTTTTGTTTTGTTTTGAGCTGGAATCTCACTCTGTTGCCCAGGCTGGAGTCCAGTGGCATGCTCACGGCCACCGCAGCCTTGACCTGCTGGGTTTAGGCGATCCTTCCTCCTCAGCCTTCAAAGTAGCTGGAACCACAGGCATGCACCACCATGCCCAAGTGATCTTTTGATTTATTGTAAAGATGAGGTCTGGCCAAGTTGCCTGGGCTGGTCCTGAACCCATGAGCTCAGGCAATCCTCTCACCAAAGTGCTGGGATTATAGGCATGAACCACTGCGCCCAGCTATTTATGTGTTTTTGTTTGTTTTTTGAGTCGTGGTCTCACTCTGTCACCCAGGCTGTAGTACAGTGGCATGGTTCTCCACAGCCTCAACCTCCTGGGCTCAGACGATCCTTCCACGGTAGCCTCTCAAGAAGCTGGGACTACAGGTGTGCACCACCACACCCAGGTAATTTTTTTACTTTTTGTAGAGACGAGGTCTTGCTATGTTGCCCAGGCTAGTATTAAACTCCTGGGCTCAAGCAATCCTCCCATCTCAGCCTCCCAAAGTGCTGGGTTTACAGGCATAAGCCCCCACACCCAGTTTATTTACGTGTTTCTATGGCCTCTTTCATGCTTCAACAGCAGTTGAGGAGTACAACAGAGATCGGATGACTCACAAGGCTTAAAATAATGACTGTGTAGCTTGTTATGGAGAGCTGCTGACCCCTGCACAACATGGTCGCCATTTCTGTGTCACACAGAATGCACTTCCACTCTATTCGTGGCAGTGAGCACATACTCCCTAATTACCTTGTTTAAATATTTAATATTTGTTCCCCCACTTCAGCCCTAAAATGCAAGCCCCTAAGATGTCGAATTCCACGTTGGATCCCCAGCACCCAGCATGGTGATCAGCACACAGTTGGTGATGGGTGGGTGGGTGCAGTGCTCCAAAAGTTGGTGTCAGCTCAGGATGCTGTGAGAGCTTAGAGGAGAAGGCCTGAGTCCAGTCTTGGGGAAGCACCTGAGCTCAGTTCTTAAAGAGCAAGATGGATCTATCCAGACAGAGAAGTAAAGGAAAGGCATCCCAAACCAGGGAACAGCCTAGATGGAAGCCGGAGACAAGAGCTCTAGACAGAGGCTTCCTGTGGTGGCCCTGCCCGTGGTGTTCACTGTTACATTGTCCTTGGGGAAGGTGATCCGTGAACCCCAGCTCCTGGGAAGTAAGGGTTCTGAAGGGAGGGAAAAGGACTGGAAACAGGCCCTAAGCCCTGCTGAGCTAGGTGCTCACATTCATTATCTCAGCATAGCCTCAGATGTGCTTTTATCCTTGTAATGCAAATGAGGATCAGGCTAGGAGCAGATCCATAATGTGCAGAGTCAGCCCACTGAGTGGGTTCAGAGAGCAGCCCAGGACTACCTGCGTGCTGTCACTGAAACCCATCCTGGTGCCCCCAGATGGTGAGGGGCTCTGTGCCCTGACCCTGTCCTCCAGAGAGCAGGAGGCAAAGTGATGTAGTAAGGGTATTCATTTAAGAGTCAGCAGGCTGGATTTGACCTTCCCTCAATCTGAGCCACACACAATGCTGTGTGGCCTGGGTCAACTCGCTTAGCTTCTCAAGCCCCAGGTTCATGTCTGCAAGATGAAGCTGATTGTGCTGTGTTCGTAGTGATCATGAGGATGAAATGAGGTGATCTGGGCCAGGTGCACACTCGTGGATTCTCATTAAGAGGCAGCTACTCTTGGTGGCAGTTTCTAGTGGCGGTCGCCTTGACCCAGCTGGTGGCCACAGCTGAATCAAACGGGCCTTCTCTGCTGGCACTAGCCTGTAGCTTCACCTGCCTTTAAAAGTGCTGGGATTACAGGTGGCTCAGCCTGTAATCCCAGCTCTTTGGTAGGCCGAGGCAAGTGGATTGCCTGAGCCCGCAGGTTCGAGATCAGCCACCTGGGCAATTTGGTGAGACTTCATCTCTGCAATAAATAAAAAAAAATTACGCGGGCATGGTAGTGTGCGCCTGTAGTTCCAGCTTCTTGGAAGACTGAGGTGGAAGGATCGCCAGAGCCCAGTAAATCGACGCTGGGGTGGCTGTGAGTGTGCCACTGCACTCCAGCCTGAGTGACGGAGTGAGACTCCAACTCAAAAAAAGAAAAAACAAAACGCCTCTCTAGTTGGGAATCAAATTTTCTCAAAGAAGGAGAGGAAGGAGAATGAGGGTACCCTGGCATTCCCCTCATTGTGTTTCATTTTGCCTTTCAGTTTTCCTGTCCCAGTTCAAGCTTCTTTGGAGCCGAGACTCTTGGACAGACTCAGGGCCCAAGGGTGGCGATCACAGAGATGGTCATACAGAGGCGCCGCCTCCTTCCAGGCCAGGCGGCACAGGGTCCCCTCCAGGACATGGCCAAGGTAGTGAGGGTTTCTCCCTCCAGGCTGGGACTGACACCACTGGCCAGGAAGTGACAGGAGTTCAACTGGACGAGGACGGGGACCTGGACGTGGTGAGAAGACCACGAGCCACCTCTGATGCCCACCCAGTGGGGCCCCCGAGAGACAAGGTACATCCCGTGATACTAACGCAGGAAGAAGACCTTGTCACGGGCAACGAAGCACGGGAGAGCAGCCCTCACAGTATCATCAGAATAGGTAAATGAAGGTCTGGCTTACCTGCCGCCATAATACCAGGGCACAAGTGTCACCTGAGCGCTGGCTCTGTGTGCAGGCCTGGTCAGAGTGTCCCGACACCACCGGTATCAGGACCAGTTGAGTGAGATGGGCAGGAAGTACTGCTGCCAGCAGGGGGAGCTCTCCACAACACATGGTCACTCCTGCAGCTCACACAGCCACCGGCCCCTTGTGCGCCCCAGTGCTTCCTCACCCATGCGGTGCCTCCTTCTAGAGTGTCTGCCCCAGCCTCGTCTCCTTGGCGCATTCCTCTGTGCCATACAGGTCCCAGCGCAGCCACACCTCCTCCAGAAAGCCTCGCGGCTGCTGTCCCCCACAGCTATGCTGGTCTGTAACTCAGCATGGGTGGGGGTGGGTAATGAGTAATGGGGCAGGGTACTGCTTGTGAAAGGTTTGTCTGGGCTGGACTGGCAACAGGGAGCCATGGGAGATTCTGGAGCTGGAGTGTGGCAGGTGGAGAGGAGTGTAGACCCAAAATTAATTGGGTTTGGGCCAATCAGATGGACTGGAATCTAGAAGCCAAGTGGGAGGGGGTGCTGAAGTGGAAGGAAAGGTGGGGCCAAAGAGAGGTTGTGACAGATACTCAGGTAGGATCAAGGCCATCTGCCGCCCAGGCGCAGGGGGCAGAGCAAAGGGGCTTGGTGATCCGGGATTTGAAATCTAGGGACCTGGCACTCTGGAAGCACCAGAAGCAGTGGTAGCCAGGGCAGAAAGTCAGCAATGGCCGAGCACCTGTTGGGTTTGGATGTTTTTACGAGTATCGTCTCATTCGGCCTGCACGGCCTCCTCTGAGGGGTGCACGGATGAGTGATGAGCCCAATGCCAGCAGCTTGGCAGTGGTGAGGGGTTCTGAGTCCATGTGTCAGTCTCCACAGCCGGGACTCTGGCCATCCCGGCCCTGCTCATCTGTGGGGGAAGCTGTGATCCCCCAAACACATGGAAGGGGCCCAGGATCCCATGGGAAGGCCTCCCCAGCCCCAACCCAGGTCCGGATGGGCATCAATGGGTACTCAGAAACAGACAGAGAGCAGTTCCAGTGTCTGTCTGTCCATCCATCCGTTCAACAGTCATTGTTTACGGTGGTACCAGACAGGCTCCATTCTTCCAGCGGGGCTAACTTTGAACTTATACCAGAGCCCTGCCTTGTGTTTTCCATGAATTACTACTGCTCTTCACAGCCTCTGCAGGTAGGGGTGTGTATCCCCATGTCACAGAGGAGGGAACTGAGGCTTAGAGAGGTGGAGGAACTTGCCCAAGGTCACACAGATAGTCAGTGGCAGAGCCTAAACTCACACCCCCGTCTGCCTGATGCTGCAGCCCGTGTTCTTAGCCCACATCACACAATGAGAGCATGTGAAGGTAGCTTGGGGAGTTCTGATTCTCAGGGTACCCATGATAGCTCAATCTGCCCTCAGAGTCTCAGCCTCCCAAAGGAGGGCAACAGTCATTCCACATCAATTGTCTGGCCTCCAGTGTGCATGTGTTTGGCTTTGTGGGAATTTACTGCCCTGCAAGCCAGGAACAAAGTCCTGCCTGCCCCATTCCAAGGACCCTGTGTCTTCAACCCAGAAGTTCACCTTTTCCAGCTGTCAGTCAGTTCCTCTGTGCCGTGAGGAAGAAGAGCAGAAAGGTAGTTAAAGGTGTGCACTTAAGTGGGCACTTAATCCTTTCATCCACAGCTGCAGCTGTTGCATCCACAGAGCTTGATCTATGGCAGGGGTCCTCAAACTGCGGCCCGCGGGCCACATGCGGCTCGCCGAGGACATTTATCCGGCCCACCGGGTGTTTTTGCCACTGCTGCCTGTCCCGCCTAGCAGCCGACTCGTCCGGGCCGCAGTGCACATGTGTGGAATGTGCGTCGCACTCTCCGACTCCCCTCCTTCTCTCTGTCTCTCGACGACTTCTCTCAGTCTAGACTAACTGATGCACACTTGCATCATTTGTTAAGACTAGCAGTGACAAATATGGAACCGGACATTGACCATCTCATTAGCCAACAGCAGGCCCATAGTTCCCATTGAAGTACTGGTAAGTTTGTTGATTTAACTTTACTTGTTCTTCATTTTAAATACTGTATTTGTTCCCGTTTTGTTTTTTCACTTCAAAATAAGATATGTGCAGTGTGCATAGGAATTTGTTCATAGTTTTTTTTTTTTAAAACTATAGTCCGCCCCTCCAACGATCTGAGGGACAGTGAACTAGCCCCCTGTTTTAAAAGTTTGAGGACCCCTGATCTATGGTGCCTGTAATCTCAGCTACTATGAAGGCTGAGGCAGATGATTGCTTGAGCCCAGGAGTTCACGACCAGCGTGGGCAACTTCGTGAGATTCTCATCTTAAAAAACAATTAATTCAAGCCGGGCTCGGTGGCTCAGCCTGTAATCCCGCACCTTTGGGAGGCTGAGGTGAGTGAATTGCCTGAGCCCGCAAGACCTCATCTCTACAATAAATCAAAAAATCAGCCGGGCGTGGTAGCACATGCCTGTAATTCCGGTTACTTGGAAGGCTGAGGCGGAAGGATTGCTGGAGCCCAGCAGGTCGAGGCTGTGGTGGCCAGAAACAGCCACTGCGCTCCAGTCTGGGCGACAGAGTGAGACTCCAACTCAGAAAAAAAAAAAAAAAACCAATTAATTCATTAATTTGTAAAAACTTGATCTAATCCTGCAGAGCTGGATTTAGCCCAGCTCCACCCCTCACAAGCCAGGTGACCTTGGACAAGTGTCCTGTCCACCCAGAACCACAGTTTTTGCAGCTTTGGAGTTTTTACAGTTTTGGAGTTGGGGAGACCACTCCTCCTGGGTTTGGGACTAATTGAATGAAGCAGTGCCCAGTGATCTCCGAGATCAGGGTCTGGCACAGAGGAGATACTGAGCAAATGCCACTCTCCTGACCACTCTTTTTCTCCACCGTAAGCCAACCTATTTTTTTTTCAAGTTGTGGGCCCATTTGAGAAACTGATTATTTCAGGAAATTGACAAAAATTTTATCCATGGATCTGCAGGGAATCCACAGACCCAGGGATCGAAGTAAATTATGATTATTTTCCCCATTTGAAAGATAAACTGAAACCCAAAGAGAACTTGAAAGAGTCAGGGCTGGAACAAAGCGTCAGATGCCGAGTCATTGCCTTCCTACTGACTGTGTGAATTGGGCAAGTCACTTAACCTCTCTGAGCTCAGTTTCCTCATCTGTACAATGAGTGTAACCTCTTGTGTGAGGAACTAAGAGTCAGCACATAGAAGGCTCTTAGCACAGTACCTGGCACACAGTAGGTGTTCAGAAATGTGAGTCACCCTTAGCTTAACTCCCCCAGTGTGGGGAAGGAGGACTGGCGAAGGAAGAGACTGAGTTCCTGCAGGTCCAGAGACCCAATGAATGGGGTGAGACCAATAGTCATGGCATGTGCTGTGGACGGGGGGTTGAAACAGATTCTTAAGCTCCCCACCCTCGCTAACCTGGTTCCTCATGGCTGTAGCTCCTCGGGCTGGTCTTTTATATGTTTCTGCTACGATTGGAATTGCATAAATGGAACCGTGATGTTCCACGGGGTCAGGAGCCACCAGATGGCCATGGCCAGGGGGCCACTGAGGTACCAGGCCTCACCCCTTGCTTGTCTGCCCGAGAGTATCCCTCCTTCCCAACCCTGCACAGCTACCTAGAAGTGCCTGGCCCAGGGCAGATGTGCTGGCCTTTGGCTGTGGTCTCACTACCATGGTGACAGACAGGAGGGACATGTACCAGGTCATGCATCAATGAGCACTGAAACAGGGCAGGCGTCGGGTGAACCTCTTGGAACTGTGGCCCTCCACACCCTAGAACATCCCCATCATGTAGACGAAGAGGCCTTCACATCAGCTGCCCTCAGCTCCCAGCCTCCTTGTGGGCTGAGCTTCGTGGGGAACCTGTTCTACCCTTTTCTGTCTGGTCCCAGGGAGCCACACAGTATCCCCCTCTGTTGTTCCATGCGTCCCCATCGCTCCCTCGTCAGCCTACCCTGGTGTTTTCTCTTATCACCAGCACAGCAGAAACCTCACCCTAAGTCGGTTTCTGGTGTGTGTGTGTGTGTGTGTGTGTGTGTGTGTGTTGAAATCTCACTTTTGTCACCCAGGCTGGAGGAGTGCAGTGGCACACTCATGGCCACCACAGCTTCAACCTGCTGGGCTTAGGGGATCCTTCCACCTCAGCCTTCCAAGTACCTGGAACTACAGACGCACGCCACCACACCTGGCTAGTTTGTGATTTACTGTAGAGATGAGGTCTCACCAACTTGCCCAGGCTGGTCTGAAACTGTGGGGCTCAGGCAGTCCTCTCGCCTCGGCCTCTCAATGTGCTGGGATTACAGACTGAGCCACCACACCCAGCCCTAAGTCAGTTTCTTATCCGATTTCCAAATAACTTGAGTTTCACATCTTTGGACTCTATTTGGCATTTAAAAAAAAAAAAAAGGCCAGGCGTGGTGGCTCACTCCTATAATCCCAGCACTTTGGGAGGCCAAAGTAAGAAGATTGCCTGAGCCCACAGGTTCGAGACCAGCCCATGGCAAGACCTCATCTCTAAAAAAAAGAAAGAAAAACAATGTGACACATTCTAATCTCGTTAGATTTTTTTTTTTTTCTAACTGACCTTGACTGGTCATGTCCCCTCTCGGGGATCTACCCAAGGGTGGACGAGGATCGGTGGTTATCAGATGTTCCCTGTGCCCGTTCTCTGGGAGGCGTTGTCTGCTTGAACCCCGTTTCTACCCCACAAATGAGGTGATGATCTTACTTCTGCGTTTTGTGGCAAAGGAAACTGCAGCTCTATCTCAGAGAAGGTGAGTGACTAAAGTCACTCAGTCAGAAAGCAGCAAGACTTGGTTCTCATACAGGCCTGGCTGACCTCAGGGTCCATGTTCTCTCTCAAGGGAAGCTGACCACCCCTTAAGAGCAGCCAGGGAGGCAATACCACTGGGAGAGAGTGACCGACCACAGGGGGCCGAGAAGTCAATGGGAAGCTGGTGGCCCTGGCAGTGGGAGCCCTCGGGGCAGCTGGGGCTAAGGGCCGGGTGTGGGAAGAGGCTCTGCCCGGCCTGCGGGAGAGGCCAGAATGGGGGCCACAAGGAGGCAGCTGTGAGCCACACCCGGGGTGGCGCGAGGGGCAGGGCTGCTGACACAGGAGGCCTGGGCAGGGCTGGAACGGCAAGACCCCCCTCCGCCATGCCCACACGCCTAGACCAGCCAAGCCCTGCCTTTGGCAGCCTCAGCCCCAAGCTTTAAATTGTGTCCCTGGGCACCCTTTCGGGCTGTACCCGTCTCCAGAGGGACACCTCCCTTCACCGGGACAAGCAGCAGACAGAAGAGCCCCACGTTTGCCTCTCGCTGGCTGTGACCTGGGCAGCCTCTCCCAGTCTCATTTTCCTCATCTGAAGATCCTACCCAAGCCCGTCACTGGGCAGTTTTAGGGTTAAATGGAAGAGCCCCTCACACCACGCCTGGCACAGAGAAGGTGTGTATGTTCCATTAACTTTTGTGAACACAGATGCTGGGCCTCAATCTCAGTGTCATCCTCTGTAAAATGGGGATGATCCTGACCAAGTAGAGTCTCAGTGACACCCAGGCCTGCCTTGGAGGGGGGTTTTCCAGTGAGTGAAGCTTAGTTCTGGGTGGGTCTGTGGGTACCTTTCTGTCCAGTTTCAAAGCAAGTGACTACATGTTGGGCCATAACAATCTGCTCCTTCTGAAAGGACCATGTTTAATTTAAAATGCCTTCCATGGCCGTGCTCAGTGGCTCATGCCTGTAATCCCAGCACTTTGGGAGGCCAAGGCAGGGGGATTGCTTGAGCCCAAGAGTTCAAGACCAATGTCAACAACATAGCAAGACCTCATCTCTTTAAAAAAAAAATTTAGCCAGGCATGGTGGCAAACGTCTGTATCAGCTACTCAGGAGGCTGAGATGGAGGGATCACCTGAGCCCAGGAGGTCGAGGCTGAGGTGAACCATGATTGTGCTCCAGTCTGGAAAACAGAGTGAGACTACAACTTAAAAAAAAATGTACCTTCTAAACTACATTATCAAATCCAGCCAAGATGCTGGTAGACAGTCCATTAGTCACTTTATTCAAGACTAAGATTCTAGTCTGCATGTATGACAGAACTCTTTGGTCAGATATGTCCAGAAGCTCTCAGAGCAGTGGTCTAGGTCCAGGAGGACCCCACATAGCCAGGTTCTCTTGTGCCTTGGAAACAGAGTGGTTGACTTGTGTTCTGGATGCCTGTTGTACTGTTTCTTGAAAAGGCCGTTTAAGCAAAGCAGCCTCCAAATGCAGAAAGTGCCGAGAAACCACAGAAGGAGGCAGCAAGTCCAACTTGTCATAGATGTATTGGGGAACTTACGGACAGAAGTGTGGCCTTGGGCAGCTGCAAGACAACCATGCCATTATCCCTCAGACCCAGGGACCATATACCATGGGGAGGGGTACACATGCTTCCGTGGGAATGGGTAGAAATTTTATCTAAAAGCAGCATTTGCAGAAAGTACGAGCTTCTCAAAGTTGATTCGACCCAAGAGCAGGATTCACGGTAAGTGTGTGCTCTTACAGCAAGGAACAGTAGATACACTGGAAATCTCAGGGTTCACCAGAAGTCAGCATGACAGATTAGCTTCCATGCTGGAGTTCCTGTGGCCTCCACATGTGCAAAGAGCACACATCTCTAAATACAGTGGCGCCCTCACCACAGTGAGAGCTTATGGAAACTCAAAAGAAACCAGGAAAGTGCAGACTCTTCAGCCTGCCTCCCAGGGCAGGCCTCACGAGGAGGGGAGCCTGTGCGGCATCACCCCCATGACCTGCCACCCTGTCACTCTCCACCCTCTTTCCCATTCTCAGTCCCTCGTTCCTGCCCCTTTGTGGTGAGCTTGCAGTTTGATGTGTGTGAGTCTGGTGAGAACATAGAGCTGCTTCCTGTGCACGTTTGTGTGTGTATTCATTTGGTGGCCGCCACCATCTACTTAAAGATGCCAGAGGGCATTCTCACTTAACAGCAGTAGTGAGTTGCATCGTTCCTGGATCTTGTATTTCCATTCTCTTCCCCCTCCCAGCCACTAGAACGTTATCCTCATATATTTTGTGCTTGAGAATACTAATTATACTTACCTATCACACTTCTCTTTTACCGTTTTTTTTTTAAAGAATATGAGCTCAAACTTACTCTGTTAATTTCTAGTGTGGTTCTGAGTGTAATAAAATATTTTGGAATGAATTGTGATTATTATTAATGTATTAATATATTATGATCATAAAATCGCATTTATTGACCATAAAAAGTGTGATGTGTTACACGTGTGTATAATTAGATTGGGTGAAGACCTGTGTGACCCCAGTCTTTGGCTGAGGAGCAGACGCACCCAGTTATCTTAAAGAGTGTGAGTCACGGCTCCTGATCTCTGAGCATGCTTAAAACCCCTCTCCCAACTGGTAGTTCGCCTGTGTTTCTGCTGCTCTCTAGAATCCCTAACACCAGTGTCCGGCACCCACCTGACCCTGTTTTCAGATAGCCACACCCCCTGTCCTTTGGTTTTCTGTGCATCCCCATTTTCACAGTGGGCATTTCTCTCGGTTTCTATCCTGTCCAGAGCACACCATGGCCACCCCCCTGGAGGATGTTGGCAAACAGGTGGGTAGATCCCCGTCCACTTTCCATGGCCCTTAAGGATTTCTCCAGAGCCTCACATTGCCTGTCGGTCCTTGTCGCCTCCTCTCCAGGTGTGGCGGGGCGCCCTGCTCCTGGCAGACTACATCTTGTTCCAACGGGACCTCTTCCAAGGACGCACTGTGCTGGAGCTCGGGGCAGGCACGGGGCTCACTAGTATCATCGCAGCCACTGTGGCACAGACCGTGTATTGCACAGGTAATGACATAATGTCTCAGGCTGGGGGAGGACAAAGCATGTACTGCACACAAAAAAAGGCAGAGACCCTGGAAACAAACGCTGGCTGCTAAGATTTTATCAGCCCTCAGTTTGATTTTGCCGTCCTGGTCCCTTGGCTTTCTGCACCCTCGTTGTTCTTCTCAATAACATCAAAATGCCGGCCAGGCTCAGTGGCTCAACCTGCAATCCCTCGCCTGAGCCCACAGGTTCGAAACCTGCCTGGGCAACTTGGCAAGACCTCATCTCTAAATCAAAAATTAGTTGGGTGTGGTAGCGCGCGTCTGTAGTTCTGGCTACTTGGAAGGCTGAGATGGAAGGATCGCTAGAGCCCAGCAGGTGGAGGCTGTGGTGCCACTGCACTCCAGTCTGGGCGACGGACTCAAAAAATAATAATAATAACATCAAAATGCCCTAGCAACACCGAGTCAGCAGTAGCATTACCCGATAGGAGTGTGGCCGAGAAGCTGCAGAAGGTGTTCAATGCTTCGGAAGGTACCTCTGCTCTTGCCCTCACGTCAGAGCAAATGTCTCTGAAAATCGTGAGGAACGTGCCCTTTTAGAAGATGTGGAAAACAAATGTATTCTTTTTTCGTGATTTATAGCTTTGCCTGTTCTTTGTGGAAGATATGTAAAACACATCCCTAGATTTACTCAACAACACGTGACTTCCCAGGCGCCTCCGTGTGCCGACAGTGCCAGATGTAAGAGGCCCAGCCATGAATGAAACACCAGGCGCTGCCTGCAGATGCTCACATCAGAGTCTCTGTTTTAACTGTTCATATCTATTTTTTTTTAGTCTTTTCCTTTTCCTTTGAAGGTACACACTCCCAAACAATACCTGAAATCAAACTAATAAACAGTGCTATATCCTGCCAAAAATGCTGAAAAATATTTTTAAGAGCATTTTCCCATGTCCTTAAAAATTATTATAAAATATGACTTTTAGTGATTGGGTAGTATTTCATCTCTTCTCTTTTCTTTACCTTCCCCTATTGCTGGCCATGTTGGTCTTTCCCATGGGTGTTTTTACATTTGTCAGTTACACTGCGATGGACATCTTTGTACATTGTCTGATAATCTACTTAAACTAGGTTCCCAGAAGTGGCTGTGACTTTCATGAAGCTTTTAATACATATTGCAAACTGATTTCCTTTTTAATTTTGACATAATTTTGGACTCACATGGAAGTTGTGCCACTTGTCCTTCACCTAGCTCCCTAATAGTGACCTCAGCCTACTGGCCTCAGGCAATACTTCTGCCTCAGCCTTCCAAGTAGCTGGAACTACAGATGTATGCCACCACACCCAGCTAATTTTTTGATTTATTGTAGAGATGAGGTCTCATCAAGTTGCGCAGGCTGGTTTTGAACCCCTGGACTCAGGCAATCCTCTCACCTTGGACTCCCAAAATGCTGGGATTACAGGCTGGAGCCACCATGCTTGGCCAGTAGTGGCATCTTACACAGCTATCGGATGGTTTTCAGAACCAGCCAGCTATATGATATGGCAAGTGTTGTGAACTAATCTTACCTGTCAGAAGAATTTTTTTTTCTTTTAGAAAGTTTATAAGAGAGTTGTCATGTCATCAAGTGAGCATTGTTATGATATTTTAAGTCTTTAATGTCTGCTGGAGTACAAGGATCTGCCAACATGGCTTGTATCTTGTGGCTTCCTAGCGATTGTCTTCCTGGCACAGGCTTTTTTTTTTTTTTTTTTTGAGCTAGGGAAGGGAAACTGGGGATCACCCATCCTTCCAGCTGATTTCAGATATGGTGAGTTAACCACAGGTCAGGAGCCTGCAGCGTAGCCACCCTATTTGCTGCTCCTTGACAATTTCATGTAAATTACCAGAGAATACTTCCAGGAGTCAAGCTATTATGGAACACCCAGAGCTCTCCAGTGTCCAGTGCCTAATAGCAGGATATAATCAAGTTGTTTTATGCTTGAGAGATGGAGATTTGCCAGCATGAAGTAGAATGCTTGCATTTAAATGGCACATTATAGTTGGTAAAGCCCTTTCACGTGCATCAACACCTGAGTGTAACTTCACAGTGACCCTGGGCAGAGCACAAGCCTGTTACCATCTCCTGAGCCTGTTACCATCTCCCATGTCCAAATTGGCAGACCGAGGTTATGGTTAAACAAGCGACCCAAGGTCACCCACACAGCTGCTGGCAAGACCCGAGACCCTTGACGCAGACCTGGCTCATAGTGTAGTGCCTCAGTCACATGGCTGGCTTCCAAGTCGTGCTCCAGGGCACAGAGTTGTGTATGCTCCCTGGGGCTGGGAAAGGGATAACGGAGCAGACTCTGGGGCTCCTCCCCACTCAGCCACAGCAGCTCATCCCTTGCCTGCTTTACGTGTTAAAGTCTCACCAGAGAGCTCTTGGTGGAAACTGTCACAAAGGTTTAAAACTGCTGAACAGTCATGTGCTGTCGAGCACATCTATCAACTTTCTCTTTACCCGGTGGCTCAGGAGAAGGATTAGTTCTGTCCCTACAGCAAGCAGGGAGCCTCCTCCCACCCCATACCAGGCTCTGTGTGATCCCTGGGGCATGGACAGTCTAGTCCCTGGGAATTTGGGAGAGATGTCCACACCCATAGTGTGCCAAGCAGATGTCACTAACAAGATATTCTGTACCTTCTAAACATACATTCTCCTAATTAGAGGTTTGTTTTTAGGCCAGGCGCAGTAGCTCACACCTGTAATCCCAACACTTGGGAGACTGAGACAGGAGGATCACTTGAAGCCAGGAGTTCAGACCAGCCTGGGCAACATAATGAGACCCCATCTCTAAAAAATTAAAAATTATCCAGGCATGGTGGTATGTACCTATTGTCCCAGCTACTCAGGAGGCTGAGGTTAGAGGACTGCTTCAGCCCAAGAGGCTGCCATGAGCTATGATCATACCACTGCACTTAAGCCCGCGCAATAGAGCAAGACCCCTTCTCTAAAATAAAATAAAAATTTGTGTTTGGCAAAGCATAGCTTCTTCCCCCAGTGAGGATTCTCTGTACCACAAGGCAGGTCTTGAGGAGAAGTTCACCTGACCAGCATAGCCAAGCAGCTGAGAGGGAGACACAAGGCCCAGAATGAATGGAGTACACTTTGGCCTGTTTGAACCTGCTCTGCAGAGTCATTGTCTCACCTCAAAACACTCTTCTGACTCTGATCCTCTTTCCCAAATGTCAAAGGATGCCCAGATGAGCCTAAACTTGGAGTTAGATAAGCCTGGATTTAGAACCCAACTCTTGCTCTCACGTGACTTTGCTCAGGTCACCTAATCTGTGAAATGAGATCGTGACACTGGCTCCCGGGGTGGGTACAAACACTAAAAGGGTGAACCATGGACATGGAGAGGGCCGAGCATGTTTTATATACTCAGAAAATGTTGGGCACTCTCACCCTTCCCTCTGGGAGGCACAGTCTCTCTCCCAGGATGAGACTCTTAATTGGGGAAAAAAGTCCAGAAAAAGAGCTCTAAGGTGAATGTGTTGCATTTTGGCAGTAAGACACATGGGAGGGACGTTTCTCTTGCTCCTGCAGTTGTGCTGTTGGTGACGGTTCTCTCTAGGCCAGAGATGGGCATGAACATGTCACGGCAGCGCCACTTTATGCTCATCCTTCTGTCGTTCCAGATGTCGGCACAGATCTTTTGACCATGTGCCAGCAAAACGTCACCCTCAACAGCCACCTGGCTGCCACTGAAGGTGAGGCCCAGTGAGGCTTCTGCCCAAGAGGTTTCTCTGTTTGGCAGGGGGACAAACACCCAGCACCTCAGGAGGTTCCACGTGCTTCCTTTGCACCAGTTAGAGGGAGGCAGCGGGCATCGTCTTGGCCTCACAAGGCATCAGAGTGTATATGACTCTCCTGGGTCGCCTCATCCTCCCCGCTCCCTGCCCGGTCCCCCTCTCTCTCCTGGTCCCCCACCTGGTCTCCCAGCCCCTCGTCTGACCCATCCATGCTGTCCTTGTATAGCATCCTGGAGCCCTTTCTAACATGCAAGCCCATGCCCTTCACACCCCACTGAACAGCTTCATCACCCGCGGGGTCTGGTCAAGTCACAGCTCCTCCTCAGCTCCCAGACCTCCCTGGCCTGGCCCCAGCCTTCTCTCCCAGCCTGCATCCAGCGAGCCAAGGACTCATTCACAGGCCTGTCCCTCTGTCCAGATGTGTCCCCAGCCCCAGCTGCCTGGTTGCCTGCCGCCTGGCCTGCAGGGATGAGCACACACGACAGTGAAGGCCTTCGCCTCACTGGGCTGCATCCAGCCCTTTCTCCTCCAAGCAGCTCCCAGACTTCAGGCTCTTCAGGGGTTTCCCACTGCTCGTCTGTCTTCTGCTGCCCGCAGCCCCTCCACACATTGCCCGGCCTCATCCCTCCAGCCACTTGGCCTTCTTTGAGGTTCCCTCCGTTTGGGGCCTTTGTACTGGCCGTTCCCTCTGCCCAGGTGCTCTTCCCTTCCTCTTCCTCCTGGTAAGTCCTCATGCCTAGATCTCCAGACCTTCAGGTCTGAGGTCAGAGTCTCCGAAACAGGCTCTAATGACACCCTGAACCATTGCATTTAACATCTGCTCACTCATGGGACTAGTTGGTTGGCATTTCCATCCCCACCAGACTACAAGCTCCGTGGGCGCAGGGAGCCTGGCTGTATCTGCTCACCACTGGCGGTGTTTGCTGAGTGCCCAGTAGACACAGGCAGTCAGTGAGACTGGAAGGAAGGAAGAAGCAAGCTGCTGGAAGCCTTAGCCACCACACCCTGCTCTGACCTCCCTCCTCTCCTGCATTTGGCTCGACCTTCAAACATCGCCCTGCCAGTCTTGTCATTCTCATGAACCTGCCAGTCTCTCCTGGAGCGGGGTTGTCTCCAAGGACAAAGACCTTAACTCTTAAATCTTTACATTCCCTGTGTCTAGCACAGTCACTGACACTTAGCACTCAAAAAATGCTGGGAGGGAGAGGGAGGGTGAAAGGATGGATAGACAGGTGATGGGAGGATGGGGGATGGAAGGATGAAAGGTGGATGGGTGGATGGGAGGACGGATAGATGAGAGGAAAGATGGACGGATGGATCTTGGTGCACAGTGTAAAAGTTTGTCTTTTTTTCCAAACTCTGATTATGTTTAGAGTTTGGAAAGTTCTCTGTGTGTCTGTTTTGACAGGTGGTGTCATTAAGGTCAAGGAGCTGGATTGGCTGAAGGATGACCTCTGCACAGGTGTGTGTTTCCCTCTGATATCTGGCATGACTCGGTGGCTCAGTAACACCCCAGGGCCATCGGCTCTTTTTCCTTGATGGAGCAGTCATCCCAGCATGCTCCCTTCATTGGCTGATGAGTGTCAGCTGTCATTCTCTGAGCACTTGCTGCGTGCCAGCACTTCACATTCATCTTGTTATCCAGGCCTCATGGTATAACTGAGGCCAGCGAGACGGCCCCTAATTATGAGTGAAGAATGGCACTCAGAGGGGTTGAGTGCCTGCCCAGGGTCAGGTGTAGCAGGGTCAGGCATGAATCTGAGTCTATCAGACTCCGGGGCATAGAGCATTTCCCAGAAACTGGTACCAGAAGAGTTCCCAGATTCCTTACACAAACTCCTCAGGCCTGGGTGCTTGCACTTTGTGCAGAGACTTCTTTTCTTTTCCCTATCAGGTGTCAGGCCGGCAGGTAGGGGAATCATTCCTTGAGTTCCTGTTACCTGCCTAGCCTCTTGCCCACCATATATGGGTCCTTGGACCTTCCCAATAACCCTGTGAGGGAAATATTGTTACGCCTTTATACATGTACAAAAACTGAAACCAAGAGAAGTAGAGCGACTCTCCTGGGGCCACACAGCAAGTAGATGGGCAGGAGGCCCCTGGACAATGGAGCAGATCGTGTTCTGCACTGGGGCCGCCGACTGGGACAGCAGGGAGGCCAAAATCCTCCTGCCATCACTGGGTAGGGTGGACGCCTGGCAGAGAAGGCGCCTCTGCCACTGTGCCTCTGTGCACAGGCAGCAGTGGCGTCAGGGCACCGAGGTGCCCCCAACCCTGTTTCTTCTCCTGAAGCATCTTTCATTCCAATTCGATGAGAGTTGGTGGCCAGGAGAGAAAGAAGTGAGCATAGACTGTCCCTTTCTTCCGTCCCAGATCCTGAAGTCCCCTTCAGCTGGTCAGAAGAGGAGATTGCCGAGTTGTGTGATCACACCACCATGCTGCTCGCAGCTGAAGGTAAGAAGAGTCTGCCCACACAAGTACTTCCTTACACATAGTCTGGGCAGTGTCCCCTCACTGCCAGAGCCCTCGGCATCTCTGAAGGGCTCTCCAGGGCATTCTACGGCATCTTCATGTAGTTCTAATTCTGAGACCTGCTGCTTTCCATGTCAAGGATTCTCTCCAGAATGGCCCTATGGGTCCCTCTAAAGAGTAGGTTTCTCAGATACTTGACGTTTCCCCTAACCCCCTTCCCTTCTTACAGTGTTTTACGATGACGACTTGACAGATGCCCTGTTTAGAACACTCTCCCGCCTTGCCCACAGGCTGAAGAATGCCTGCACCGCCATCCTGTCGGTGGAGAAGAGGTGAGCCCTCACTCCGGGGGCCGTGCTGGTGGCCTTGCCTGCAAAATGTGTCTTTATTGGCATCATTGTTATTGCTCACTGCCATTTATTGAGCACCTACTGTGTGCCAGCCCTGTATGTGTCCTTTACATCTGTTACCTCATTTAATCTATGTACTAACCCCGGGGGCAGGTGCTGCTGTCCCCAGGTTACACATGGCAGGAGGTAGGGTGAGAGACATCAGGGGGCTTGTCCTGGCCATGGCTAGTCAGCGACAGACGAGGACTTGAATGCTATGTACTGGAGCCTTGATGCAAGACCACCACTCTCTATTGAGAGCCTCTCTTTTCCAGAACATTCTCTGTGGAGGCGTATGTCTCTTCCGCTCCCCTGTCCTTATACTGATACAGACAACACTTCTCACCCAACAGCCTCCAGGACGTTTTGCTTGAATGTCCTAAATGTCACGGCTGCTTTTGAGCGTCTGCCTTGTGACGGCTACAGTGCGAGTCACTTCACACACATTTTCTCTCATGCTTATGGCCATCCACGGCTTTCCTGGAGGCAGTTTGGAACATGTAGCAAAAGCCAGGAAGCTCGGTGTACTTCTTGACCCAGCAACTCAACGTCTAGAAATCACCCTGTGGAAATGCCTGTAGCCATGTTCAAAGCTGTCTACACTTCATGTTCATTGCTGTGTTGTTTACACCAATAATGCTAAGGGCTTTGTTAGAGGCACGTGTTGACCCTTAGTCATGCCCGGACCTCTCTGGATCCTGATTTCATAGACCGTAAAGGACAGAATCAGGACAGCCAGGATGGTTGGACATCAACCACTTGGTCTTAAAGGATTATTCGGTGGGTTTTAGTTTGAAAGGGCCTTGTCTTTTTGAGATGCACACTGGCATGTTTATGGAGGAAATGGGGCAGTCTGGCCTTGAGTAGACGGTGGCTGGAGCCGGTCACAGGTTCACTGGACGGTTCCTAGTCCTTTTGCACGTTTGAACGTTTTCATATGAAAAGATTTTAGAAAGAAAGGGGAAAGAGGTGAGAGCTTGAATTTCAAGCTACATAGTCTGGCAGGTTCAGCTGTTGAAGGCAATAGCAGGATTTCTGAGTCACTCGCTGTCTTTGAAATCCCACAGACCCCTGGCTTCCTGGCAGTTTTATCCATCCTCTGTGCTCTGAGTCCCCTGCCCTGCCCACTGCCTCTCCACCATTTGTGTCACAGTAGTTAGAGGCAGGTCCAGGCAGCAAAGCACAGGAGGCTGTGCTCTGGGTCGCTCAGAGTCTGTTTCTTGCACCAGCTGTAGCTCCTCAGAAGCGGGACTGTCGTTCTCTCTCCCATGGTGTCATCTTGGGCACCAACTTAGCTTTCTGAGCCTCAGTTTCCCCATCTGTCAAATGGAGGTGGTAGCTGTCTACCTCCCAGGCTGCAGTGCAGATGCAGGAAGGAATTGCTCCCAAACGCCGGTGAGGTCAGCGAGGCAACAGGAATGTGCACTGGGCGTCTGGTGACTTGTTGTCCTGGTGATTTACAGGCTCAACTTCACACTGAGACACCTGGACGTCACATGCGAAGCCTACGACCACTTTCGCTCATGCCTGCGCGCACTGGAGCGGCTCAGGGAGGGCCGCCTGCGCTTCACGGTGGAGCCGGTGGAGGCCGCCTTCCCGCAGCTCCTGGCCTACGAGCGTATCCCGCAGCTGGTAGGTTTGGGCATGGGCAGGCTGTCCCTGTCAGTCAAGGCGAGGAAGGGACTGAGCCACGCCCCAGAGGCCCAGGTCCCACAGGGGTTGGAGGCTGCGGCCTGGCGCTGTCTTAGTGAGACCGGTGGGATGTCTGCACCCCATTCTTAGCAGTCACTCTGTTGAGGGGTCGGCCTTCCAGGCGACTGAGGCAGAAGGCAGTCGGGGAGCAGGAGTCAGTGGAGGGACATTGGTGGGTGGCAGACCTTGTTGCCGGGACACTGATGGCCCCTGGGACTGGACAGGCCCGCCTCACTGCTGCTGATCCTTCTGCTGAGTACATGGGTCCCTATCCCATCAGGTCAGGCCTGTAGCAGACTGACTGGCCCACAGCCATAGCGCCTTCCATCCACTGTCCCAGCCAGTGCCATGGCAGCAGCCGAGCATCCACGGCCCCAGGAAACGCAGAGCGGGGCCTTCCTCCCACATGTCACTTCCTGTGCTGCTTTGAAACTCAGCACTTGGGGAACATTTGAGAAGTCCTTGAAAACCCCTTCAAATTACAAGGCTGGGTTCATTGAAGGCAAAAACAGAATTGACTTCTTTTGTTCCCTTTGCCTTTGGGCTGCGGCCTCCCTTTCTGGTGTCTTCGGAGACCCAGGCCGAGTTCCAAGGAGGACAAGGGGAGGACAAGGGAGCAAGAAGGGTTGGCAGGCTGGAACTGCGTCCCAGGTCCGAGTGAGTGTGGGTGGGTTTGTGTGGTTCCACATGCGAGGGGACCGTCTGTTGCTGTGCTACCTCTGGACAGCCCCCTGCTGTCGGCTCGGTCGGCCTTCTAGTAGAGGCAAACAGGCTGCGCCTGCTAGTTGAGCACGCGGGGTTGCCAGGAGGTCCTTGGCAGGTCTGTGCATTCCCTGCCTGCTGGCACGAAGGGTAACATCTCACAACCAAGAAAATCAGCTTCTCGCAAAACTCAGCAGCCACGGCACATGGTGTTTGAAGACCCCTTAACACGGAGAGACTGTGCAGCTTGCTGCTGTTCTCCTGCCCTTCTCAGTGTGTAACATGGCGATGCCCCTTCTGAGTGCCAGGACTTCTCCAGCCTCGCTGCCGTAGTAACTCAGAACATCCCAGTGCAGCCAAGGAGGGAGGAGCCCCGCCCCTGCCCCCGCCCATGGTCGCTGGCTGGCCAGCGTGTGGCTCTCTCCCTGGCTAGTCACTTTCCTGGATGAGATATTGGCAGTCTGGTCTGTGCTCCAGGAACCTGTCCCTTCTGTGTTTGCCGCAGGAGCTCTGGAAGATCATTGCAGAACCAGTAACGTGACCCATCACCTCAACAAGACATGGCATCTGGACTGTTCTTATAACACACTTCTAATAAAAGCAAAAGCTCCCCAAAGTGATATGCTTGAGATTTTGTCATTTTAAAATACAGTTGATATAGGCTGAGCACAGTAGTTCACACCTGTAATCTCAACACTCTGAGAGATCAAAGCGAGGGCTTCATTTAAGACCAGCCTGGGCAACAGAGCGAGACCCTGTCTCGACAAAAAAATCTCTCATGGCACATCACATGGCATTATTTTTTTAATAAATAAATGCCAAAAACATCAAAAAATTACCTGGGCATAGTGGCACGTGCCAGTTACACAGGAGACTAAGGACAGATGGTTGAGACTGTGGTGATTATGTCACTGCCACTGCATGCCAGCCTGGGCAGCAGAGTGAGACCCCAGCTCAAAAAAAATAGATATGGCTGGGTATGGTGGCTCACACCTGTAATCTCAGCACTTTGGGAGGCAGAGGTGAGAGGATTGCCTGAGCCCAGGGGTTCAAAACCAGCCTGGGAAACTTGATGAGACCTGGTCTCTATAATAAATCAGAAAATTAGCTGGACATGGTGGCACGTGCCTATGGTTCCAGCTACTTGGAAGGCTGAGGTGGAAGCATAGCCTGAGCCCAGTAGGTCGAGGCTGTGGTAGCCGTGAGTATGCCACTGCACTCCAGCCTGAGTAACAGAGTGAGACTCTGACTAAAAAAAAAAAACAAAAAGATACGGTTAATGACCTTATATGACCCAAGATGGTGTTCAGGCCCAGTAGCAGCCAGAGAATATCACTGCTCTGGACTGGGCATCGACACAGCTGCCCATTTCTCAGACTTGTGATGGCTGTCCCCGGTGTTTCCAGAGATGCCTGGTCACGCAACTGTTCACACATCACATGGGGTCAGGGCCGTGGCTGTGCAGGCATGTTTTGTTAGTTTGAGTCAGAGTCTCACTCGTCGCCCAGGCTGGTGTGCAGTGGCATGCTCAATGGCCACTGCAGCCTTGACCCGCTGGACTCAGGCGATCCTTTCTCCTCAGCCTCCCAAGTAGCTGAGACTACAAGCAGCACCACTCCGGACTAGTTTTTTGTTTTTTGTTTTTTTTAATTGTAGAGACGAGGTCTCACCATGTTGCTCAGGCTGGTCTTGAACCTGTGAGCTCAGACAATCTTTTGCCTCTGCCTCCCAAAGTGCTGGGATCACAGGCGTGAGTCACTGTGCCTGGCACAGGTAGCTTTTCATGCTCCTGTTTAACTGTTCACAGATGTCTTTAGTATAGTTGCTGTACTGACACACTTAGCTCAAAAGCCTCATGCTCTCCCAAGTTTGTGTGCACCCCGTCCCTGTCCCTTCAGTGAGGGCCCCATGAGGAAGAAGGGGCAGGAGCTGGCCTGGAATGGACTGGACTGGCATTGGCCTTCATTTTTAATTTGAATCCATTTAGCCAAAATCGGGTAAGCCCGGAGCAAACCTCAGAGCCACCCATCTGGGTCGTGTGCAGCTGACCTGGGTCCACACAGAGACCTGCCTGCAGTGCTGCCCTGCGGCCTGGGCTCGCTTCCCTCCTCCCCTCAGTCTCCGGCTTGCATCACACATGTGTGTTTTATTTTTCGTCCTCCTCCCATGTCCCCCTTTCCTGCCGCCTTCCGTGTCTCCTCTCACTGCCTCTCGCTCCTTCTCGCTCTGTTTGGCAGTGTTGGGCCCAGCTCCCTGCCACTCTCAGTGCCCCCTCGCCCCCGCCCTTGCGGCTGGGCACTCTGCACCAGGGCCCGGCATGCCCCCGTCGCCTGCCCTCCCCGTTCCTGGCTTCTCCGTCCCGCTGTCCCTGCCCACGCCCACTTCTCCCCGGGCACCTGGGTCCGACTCCTGGGCCTGTCCTACCATGATCGTTGGCTCGTCCTGACTCCAGAGGCCAGGCATTTGCAAGTCTAATTCATTTCATATTCCCAACACATTTAGATCAACAGCCCTGTTACTCGCACTTGACAGTGAAGAAGACAGTCTCCAGGAGGAAAAATGTTCATGAGGTCAGGAACCTGGTTTTGTCTCAAACATCACTATATCCCTGGTGTACGGTCTGGTACAAAGCAGGTACTCGACACAAATTGTTGATTGAGTAGCTAATATGAATTGTTAATTAAAGTGGTGTTTCCGGCTGGGTGCGGTGGCTCATGCCTGTGATCCTAGCACTTTGGGAGACTGAGATGGGAGAATCACTTGAGCCCAGGGGTTTGAGACCAGCCGGCACACCATAGCAAGACCCCATCTCTTAAAAAAGTCAAAAGATTAGCTGGGCGTGGCAGCACATGCCTGTAGTCCCAGCTACTTGGGAGGCTGAGGTGGAAAGATCACAAGCCCAGGAAGTCGAGGCTGTGGTGAGCAGTTTGATACCACTATACTCCAGTCTGGATGATACTGAGAACCTGACTCAAAAAAATTGTGTCTTCTAATTGCAGGTGATTTTGCCTCCAGAGGCATTTGGCAGTGTCTGGAAACATTTTTGGTTGTTACAAGTAGAGTAGGAGTATCACTGGTGTCTTGTGGGAGAAGCCAGGGATGCCTCCAAATATCTTACAATGAACAGCCCACAACACAGAATAATCCAATTCCTAATGTCAGTTGTGCTGAGGTGGAGAAATCCTGACTTGGAAGACGAAAACCAGCTACTTTAGGAAGGAAAAATGGGTCTCAGCTGACCCTGTAGTACGGGGGATCCAGAGGCTACATGTCACTCTCCCCTCAGGGAGTGGGAAGAAAACCTGCAGCCTGCATTATCTCTTAAGGTTTCTCAAGTCTAGGGAAAAGGGATTCGTGTTTTACAAATGAGAAGTCTGAAGTTCAGAGAAGTTAAGCACCTTGCCCGACATCACACAGCTACCAAGGGCAGAGTCAGGTTTGGAGCCCATGTCCATCTGACTCCTAGGACTGTGCCTGTCCCACACTGTGTGGTCCCTGGGCCAGCAGCAGCATCTGTGACATTGCCTGGATGCTTGTTAGAAATGCAGTATCAGCTGGGCTCAGTGGCTCAGCCTGTAATCCCAGCACTTTGGGAGGCCAAGGTGAGTGGATTGCCTGAGCCCATGGGTTCGAGACCTGCCTGGGCAACTTGGTGAGACCTCATCTCTACAATAAATCAAAAATCAGCCGGGCGTGGTAGCGCGCGCCTGTAGTTCCAGCAGAGGCAGAAGGATCGCCGGAGCCCAGCAGGTCAAGGCTGCGGTGGCCGGGAACGGCCACTGCATTCCAGTCTGGATGACAGAGTGAGACTCCAACTCAAAAAAAAAAATAAAAAGAAAAAGAAATGCAGCATCAAGCAAATGAAAACCACACTGAGATACCACCTAACCGGAGTAAGAATGGCCATCATTAATAAAACAAACAGCATGCTGGCAAAGATGTGAAGAAAAAGGAACACTTCTACACTGCTGGTGGGAACACAAACTAGTGCAGTCTCTTTGGAAGACAGTGTGGCGATTTCTGAAACAACTGGAAATTGACCTTCCATGTGACCCAGCAATTCCCCTATTGGGAATAAACCCAGAGGAACTCAAATCATTCTACAAAAAAGATACCTGCACACGCATGTTTGTTGCAACTCTATTCACAATAGCAAAAACATGGAACCAGCCATGCTGCCCATCGAAGCTTGACTGGATTTTTTAAATGTGGTACATATACACAATGAAATATTATGCAGCCATAAAGAAGGACAAACATGGACTTCACAACAACTTGAATGGATTTAGAGTCGATCATATTCTGTGATCTGTTACAGAAACAAAGAATAGAGTACCATATGTTCTCACTCATAAGGGGACCTTGAACAGTTATCATAATACTATAAGAAAGTGATTGGCAGTTGAGGGAGGGAGGGGCACACCTCATCAACAAGGGTACCTGCATAATTAGCATTTGTATAACTAACCCTGAGTTGTATCCCACATCTTTAAAATAATGAAGAAAAAAAAAACAACATCAGGCCAGGTGCAGTGGCCCACACCTAGAACCCCCACTTTGGGAGGCCAAGTTGGGAGGATCGCTTGAGCTTAGCTCAATACCAGCCTGGGCAACATAAGACCCTGTCTACAAAAAAAAAAAAAAGGAAAAGAAATGCAGCATCAGGTCCAGCCCAGGACCTAAGTCAGAGTTCGCATCCTGCCAAGACCACAGGTTTTGTGCAGAGTTTGAGAAACCCCAGGCCTGCAGCACAGTTTTGTCCCACTGCTGTTTTCTGAGGTTCCTGCACCAAAGCCATGATGCAACAGAGCCACCGATCACGGCGGGTTTATTAATAACGCATCTTCTAAACAGAACCCTCCAGACACAGCCCCCACTGGCGATATGTCAGCACTAGCGGTGACATTTTCCTAGCCCTCCTGGGGACAAGCCCATAAGTGTAATTGGCACCAAGCAATAGAGTTGTCACAGCTTTCACCTGGTGCATTAGGGAAAACTGCTTTATGTCTAGCCACTCGGCCTGAAAGCTCCCTCTAAGTGGAGCGCGGAATTAATCTTGATCCACTATCGTTCAAAGGATCATCAGGTTTTCACCTCCAGAGTCGGATGCGCTCTTCTCACTGTGTTTTATGGCCTAGCTTGAGCCTCCACAGGTGCTTGTTGGGCAGTGACATTTCAGAATCATCAAACCGTCGAAATGTTCTGCTGGGTGATTAACCCAGGCCATCAGACTCCTTTTTTTTTTAACACATTCTAACATTTTCGAAGACATAGATGGTGCAAGGAAGGGACTTGGTTGTTGAGCTGTAGCAGGAAAGATTTGTTAAAGCCAACAGTGAGTGACACTGTGGTTCCTGGGGCATCTCAAATTTCTGTGTACATGGAATCACCTGGGGTCTTGTCAAAATGTAGGTTCTGACTCAGGTCCTGGGTAGGGCCCAATGCTGCAATTGAACAAGCTCCCAGGTGATGGCGAGGAAGCCAGGTCAGGGACCACACTGCGGAGCGAGGCTGCAGCGTGTCATTCCTGGTTAAGAGCATAAAATCTGGGCTGAGCCTGGTGGCTCATGCCAGTAATCCTAGCACTTTGAGAGGCCAAGGTGGGAGGATCTCTTGAGGC